AATGATTTGCAAAATGTATTTTAACTTTTTATGTGCAAAGAAAGTAAAGTTTCTTTGAATAAGCTCTAATTTGATTAATATTTCCGTAAAAATACACAGTAAAACATCTGTAAATTCACAGATGTTTTACCGTTCATGTAACAACAGCGCCCCCTGTGGTCACACCTCATTGATTACATCACAGGAGGAGATTCAGGGGTTCCTGAGGGAGACTGTGGACCAACCACTGGGAGGTCAGAGGTCAACACACAACAATCATCATCAAGACACAAATTGGAGTGGGTGTGTTTGTGTGTGTGCGCGTGTGTGTGTGTGTGTATGTGTGTGTGTTTTTGTCTTTATTAAATGGTGGGGCCTGTGGGCTGAGAGCACAGTCACAGTATGGGGCCTAAAATTGGGAGGTGTCGTGGAGAGGGGAAGAAGTTTATGTAGCAGTGGCATACAAGAATATCAGCAGAGCAGGGATCTCATATGGATGTTTATTTGGACTCAATGACAAATCTTGGATTTTAGATTGTGACACAAACATTTATATCTTGTATTACAACAATGTCCGGACTCCTGTCTCAGGTCCTCAGTCCTCCAGAGTTTGAGTGTACCTGGATCACAGTGCAGGTATTCTGTCCTTCTACTGTGTCTCTGAGTCCAGACCACATTCACTCAGCCTCTCTATGCTGGACTTTGGCTTTATCTTGGATCCACAGCTGAGTTGTGTAAACTCAAATAGACAGAAGTGATTTCAGGGACAGTGGGTTAAATTCTGTGTTTGATTTCTTCAAATGGTTTTGTTTCCACCGTTGTTTCTGAGAGCTGATTGTTGTGGCGTTTCTTCACTGCACAGAGATCACCTGTCAATCAAACATTGTGGGCGGTACTTTGACATCTTCTTATTAGTTGTTCTGTAAATGTTTGAGTGTCTTTAGGTGGCGCTCCTTCCTGTGTCTGTTCAGCCATGGAGGCTATCACTGCTCATGATGACTGCTGTTTACCTGAACTGATATTTCTCTGTGTGAAAATGTAAACTTGAGTTTGTTGAATATTTGTAAAGATGTATTTGTATATTATTGTTTCTCCTCCACTACAGCGGTTTAAGAGAGAAAGCAACAGACTTTCCTTTATTTTGATATTTAGTTCTTACCACTTTGTAAAGAAATCTTTAATGACATTTACATTTATTTCTGTTTTTGTTTTCAACTTACAATTGAGGAATTATGAGGTATAATAAAACTGTAATTGATCATAATCAATAAGGAGATCATTCAATATTTATTCACAATTAGAAAGTAGGACTGTTTGTGATATATCAGTGAGGGCAGTGTTTGATAGTTGTAATGGTGTTAAATGGTTATAAACCTTAAGGGAAAATACTCGGGCACTGCCATGACACCCACTATTTACTGTTAAATTACATTCTGTGGAAGTCATGATAAAGACTCTTTTGATGTGTAGCTGAACTGATAACATGAATCGTACCTTTGACACATAGATTCACATGCTCAGCCAGGAACGTGAGCTGTACCAGTCACATGGAAAACCTATAGGTCTGAAAGGTTGAAGGGTTCAGGAAGTTAATTGTGTGTGTTTGCATCAACTATTATTTATAAGATTCATATAAACACTGAGGGCTGCTGGGACCAAGCCCCCTTTGACAATGAAGCCCTGATTCCAGTGAAACAATAAGTATTAAAGTAATCAATAACTTAGAGAACAAACAGGCCAAGGACATCAACATAAAGGACAATGTCAGTACAAAGAAAACACATTCAGTCACACTGCTGTATTTCACTCAAAGAGGATTTAAATTCTGATTCTAACTTTACAAACTCCTGCAGATTGTTCCAAATTACATTAAATTAAATTACACCAATTTCACTGTTTCAGTGTCAACATGATTTTCAAAGACCAACTAGTCTTGGGACCAAGAGAATAATGAAATTGATCTATATTTAAAAAGATCAACATACATACCCAGGAAGTTTGCTAAGAAGATAAATAAATCAAATGTAATGTTCACACCTCACAGTGGATGCCGGAATTGTTACTCAGCGTCATTTTCTTTCTTTTCCCATTAAATGAACTTGAAGAGGTTGAGGGGTTAGGTGATGGAGAGGCACATGGCTGGGCATTGCACCCCAATGCCCCGCCCCTTGGTGTCAGCCCACTATCCTTTCTTGACATGTCCCAACTAAACATTGAAGTTCAGCTCTTCCCCTCAGGTCCAAGATACATGGTTTCCATCATCCATTCTTCCATTCACATGTTAAACAGTAGATCTATTAAACTGTTGTCTGTAGATTGCTTAGATTATTACTTGTACTTACCTTGACCTGGATGCTGAACAACCTCCTGAACTGTAAACTGTGTCTGTCTGTTGGCTGTCCACCACTGTTTAGGTGTGTTTGTGTATTTTGAATGATCCTGGCTCGTGTCCAATTTCCCTGGAAGGGACAATAAAGATACTTTGAACTTTTGATGATTAGTATTTCACATCTCGGTTGGCGAGATTGTGGTGTCTGTTAATCAACTATGTTGTATTTTTGTGTTTTGTTTCCTGTTTTTGTACGAGGTGGAGAGATAAGTAACTGTATATAAGAGCTGATGTTTGTCTCGTTCAGCAGCTCCTCACAGGAAGACTGAAGTTACAGGCTGACACTGAGAAGGAAGAAGAGAAGATCATTCTGCAGCAGCTCTGCTCGTTCGATAGACTACAGGTCGTCTCTTCCCCCGGACGAGTATTACTAACACTGTCTGTCTTTATTAAAGCTAATCATCCCCTTTGGCATCATCTCCACCATGAAGATCCTGACTCTGTCTGCACTTCTTTGTGCCATGATGGCTCTGACTGGAGCCGATGAAGACATTAACTCACTACTGGGTCAAAATGTCCTTCCAGCTCTTCCAGACTCTGAGGGTGAACCTGGGACAGAGGAAACTATTGTTGGTAAGAATATTTTTCTTTAGATTTATATTGATGCTCTCTTGTAATCAGATATATGAGACATGAGTTTTACTGCATGAACAGAGAAAGAGATTGAATTCATTCATAAATACTCAATGAAAATAGCGGACAGTTTCAATCAGTAACGGCTACATCAAACTGTGCAGCTCTTCCAGACACAAAGGACGGAAATTGGACAGACTCATTCATTCCAGCTGGTCAGTGGGTGTTTTTAAAGAATTATACTGAAATGCACTTTGTCATGATGTTCTCCTTTAAATAAGCAGAACTGTAGGCTGATCATCCACTCTTGTCTGTTTGACTTCAGGAGAGACTGATTATGTCCAGAGTGTCAGATCTTGTCCCAGTGGTTGGACTGCTTTCAACAGTCGCTGTTTCCTTTACGTTCCAAGAGTCTTGAACTGGGCTCAGGCTGAGGTAATCAGGATTGTCTTTATTCAGGGACCCAAGCTTCTACACAAAGTTCATTCTGTTCTCTATAGAGAGGAGGCCACGTCTGTAAATGATGCCAATGAACTGTCTCTCTCTCTCTCTGTAGAGAAACTGTCAGTCCATGGGTGGAAACCTTGCATCTGTACACAGCTTTCAGGAGTACCATGAGATTCAGAGGATGATAGTGAGAGTCAGTCATTACAGCAATCAAGCATGGATTGGAGGGTCTGACGCACAACAGGTAAAATATTCACCGTTATATAATGTGCAACAAATATTTATTAAAACAATCATTTGACTGTTTTATTCGTACAATCTTCTGTTCTGTAATGAAGGAAGGTTATTGGCTCTGGAGTGACGGTACAAGATTCAGCTATTCTCACTGGTGTCGTGGAGAGCCTAATAATGTCCATGGTCAGCACTGCATACAAATGAATGATTCAGGTAAATTATAATATTTCCTTGAGAGCTCAGTGTATGGTTGGTGTAAGTGATACAGGATGAATATTAAAAGAAATAGAATATATCAATCAATCCATTCTTTTTATGAACAATTACTGATAAATCTTTTAAATATCTCAGTGGAGCAAAACATGTTTTTTCTTTTCTGGATTTGAAATTCTTTGAGTTTACTAGATTATACATGAGAATATATCATTTACCACAAAAGGAACAGTGCTGGTACTGAGATTAATAATGTATTACAGCCGTCATATCAGCCTCATTTTCAGGTTCATATTTGTATTTTGGGGGTCTGGTCTGCTGCTTATTCACCCTCTCTAAAACACTCATTTACATGCACGAATATATATATATCACACAATAAAGCACAGAAACCCCCCAACAGCCTAATATGGCCTCTTTAATGCAGCTTTAACAGCCATGGTGCTGTGAGGACAGTGGTTCCCTGTAACTGTGAGTGGTGCTGTTCAAACAGACAGTATATCCCAGGATAAATGATGTGTCTACGTAATGATGCTTCATTCAACAGGTTCAGCTTTGGGTTTGTGTAGCACTGTCTCACTGCTGGGTTTTTGGTTTATATAGGTAACAAATGCTGGGATGACTTTCAGTGTCACGCATCTCGTCCATCTGTCTGTGCCAGGAAGCGCTGACACGAAGAACCAATGAAAAGCACAAACCGATCAATTTGTCCTTGAAAACTCACCTCTCTATACGCCATCCGTCTCATATGTAACCTAAAAGCTTTATTTCTCATTAAACTTCTTTATATATTTTTTCTACTACTGTAATGGTAATGGTCGAGGCAGACTGCCACCCAACAAGAGTCGGGGTCAGTCCGAGGTTTCTGCCTCTTAAAAGGAAGTTTTTCCTTGCTGCTGTCTCCAAAGTCTTGCGTATGGTGGGAACTGTCTCTGTAAATAATGTTATAAGGAGTTCGGTCTAGACCTGCTCTATTTGTGTCCTGAGATAACTTCTGTTATGAATTTGTGCTTTACAAATAAAATTGAATTGAATTAATGTGATTTGTGAGTGAACTGTTCTGTCTTGTCTTGTGTGAAATTAAAAACATTGAAACAAACTGGTCTTTGTTATATTTCCTGTATAATCTTGATGAATTAAATAATAATATACATGATCCATCTAC